GACTTGGGGCCATGCTGGCTCACCTTCATCTCAGCCTCCCGCTTGACCTGCTCCACCTGAAACGCCAGCTGCTCCTTGACGCGTGCCACCTCCTCCTGGCTCTGCTGCGTGACCGTCAGCTGCTTGGCCGTGTCGGCGTTCTGCGTGGGGACAACCAGGATCACTGGGCATTCGGAGGGGGAACCCTCGCCACTGCCGCGCTCATTCTGCCCAAATTCTGGCTGGGGGTGTAGCTTGGAGATGCCTTTTTCACGGCATCCAAAACACTGACCGTCGGCGGACAGGAATTCAAGGGGTGCCCCCCACCCGGTGCTCAGAGGTCCCTGGGTGCAGGACGATGGGACAGATACGGGGTGGGGTTGGGCACACACGAGCCACATCGGCAGCGGCAAAGGATCAAAGGCGGCAGTCGGTCCCTGCCTGGCACAGGCAGCAGCGTTACCTTCCTCAGGAGCTCAGCGTGCGTGTTGATGAGCTCGCTGTGCTTCTCCTTCAGCTTCGTGTAGCGGATCTCGGTGGCGTTGGCTTTCTCTGAATGGGGTGAGAAAGCATCAGCAACCGCGGCACGGGTGTCCTGCGGCCAACGGGCGCTGTAGGGCACCTACTTTCTGCTTCGGCGCAGAGCCGCTGGGACCTGTCGCTGTCCTGCTTTGCCTTCTGCAGCCTCTCCAGCTCATCCCGCAGCTGCTCGTTGTCCACCAGCGCCTTCTGCTTCTGCTTGCGCTGCTCCTCCACTTCACCTTCCAGGCTGTTCACCTGCGCCTTGAGCTGCGTGATGTACCGCTGCGCCTGCGGGACGCCGTCAGGCACTCGGGCACCGCCCTGCCCCGACGTCAGCAACACCCCTATCCACCTGCCCTCCCCAACATCCCTATCCAGGTGCCCCGCTGCGATTTGGGCAAAGCAGCCAGGAGATGCATGGGAAAGCTCTGCCCTCGGCCCCTGCAGCTGCTCTGTCCCCGCTGCCAACAGCCGGTCGGGACAGCAAGGGACACGTCTCGTATACCTTCACCCCATCTCCATCGGGAGTCAGGTCCTGGCGCTGGGAGAGGCCCCGAAACACAGCGCTGTGTGCCAGGCCCCCACTCCTGCTGCATCCCATCGGGGTTTCCACACTACAGCACCAGAAAACCCCTTGCTCCCCCACACCGCCTACTCCCTGGCCAGGCTTTACCTCCAGTTTAATCTTCTCCATCTCTGCACGGAGCATGTCCACCTCCTTCTTCAGGCTCTCGATCTGCGCATCCCTGCAGAGAGAGGCGGGTTGGTGCCACGCAGCAGTGGCAGCCCACCCTCTGCCACCGTGGATCCCCGTACCTGTCATCCCGAATGCCGTTGGGTGGCCCGAAGGTTTGCTCAAATATATCTGAGGTGATCTGGGGAAGACAGAGGGTGCCGAGCTGAGCCAGGCTGCGGGTGCCTGTCCTCCCCCGTCCCAGGGTCCCATCCCATCCCTGTGCCCCCACCTGCGGCTCCGTGGTGGAAGCTGTGCTGATCTCAATGAGGTTCTCCGGCTCCTCGTCCTCAGGGGCTTCCTCAGGGATGACGACCACCGGCTTCACATGCTCGGCCAGCGCGGATGCCCGCAAGAAGTTCGGGGGGCTCTGCAGGAACAAGAAGTTGTGATGGCATCACCTGGGGTTTCGCAAACCGCTGCAGGCACACTGCCGAGGGAAGGAAGGAAGGCAGCCAGGGATGCTGCTGAGATGGGCCAGCGGGTCCCTCTGCAGTGTCCCCAGACCCCGAACCCATCCGTGGGGACACCCCTGTGCACCCCAAACCCACAAGAGAAGTTCGGGGGGCTCTGCAGGAACAAGAAGTTGTGATGGCATCACCTGGGGTTTCGCAAACCGCTGCAGGCACACTGCCGAGGGAAGGAAGGAAGGCAGCCAGGGATGCTGCTGAGATGGGCCAGCGGGTCCCTCTGCAGTGTCCCCAGACCCCGAACCCATCCGTGGGGACACCCCTGTGCACCCCAAACCCACAAGCTCTCCAAAGCACGGCACGCGAGCACACACCGAAATCCTGCCGTACCTCTGGCAGCCGAGGGATCTGGATGAGCCGCTTGAAATACAGCATGTCGGATGCTTTCTTAAAGAAGTTTTTGAGGCTGGAGGAGGGGGGAAGAAAAACTGCTCGCAGGGGAGGCAGAGAGGGGGGCTTGGCAGGAGGGAGGGGACCCCACCGCCCCACCTCGGCCCTGGGTTACCTGCGAAACTGCTCGTGGAAACGGTCTCGGTGTCCCTGCAGTGTGTCGGCCGGCAGACCTGTGGTGATGGGGAGGGACAGCCGCGACTGATCCGGGGCTGCAAATTTATTCACACGCGCCCGGATCCCTCCGGCTGCAAGAGCCGGCGGGTAAAGTCAAGGTGGGAGTGGGATGCGAGGGTCAGGACGGGAGTGGGGTGTCCCCATCCCTGGCATAGGGACCAGAGACGTGGCACAGGGAAAGGCAGGCGTGGGAGCCCCGAAACACCCACGCGAGGCCCCTGGCGCCGCACTGCAAAGCAATCCCGTGCAGGGCGCTGGCGGGCCAAGGCACATCGGTTTGAATTAAGCAAGGACGAGTCCCTCTAATTCCTTCATCTGGGATGTCTACGTGGGATGGAGCAGGTCCTTAGAGCCGGGCTGGGATATGGGGACATGGTGATGGACGCATCCATCCACGCAAGCCTGATCCCGGAGAATCCAGCCAGAAGCCCGAGCTGGGAAAAGAGGAGTGCGGGGCACATCCCCGGGGACTCACAGGAGTGCAGCTTGAACATTAACTTGACGACGTAGTGCTAGAGGTGGGTGCCGGTCCTGGTGGACCGGGTGTTTGTGGGCACTGCCCCGCCGACATCTGCGAGACCGCCATCGAGGTGTTGAGCTGCCTGAAAACTGAAGGGTTGAGCGCGGTGAAACGCTGCTGCTGTGTTTGCAGAGCCGTCCTGCTCCGGGCGACTTGGCTTGATCATTAACCACGATGGACGTGGCTTTGCCAGGACATGGAGGAAAACACTGGGGCTGCTGCCCATCCTGTCCCACCGAGCTGGGAACAACCCCGCTCCGGGCAAGAAAACCACCGAAAAGGACTGTTGTGTCAGAGGGAAGGGGTACTCAGCTCTGCCCTGGACACCCCGACCCCAAAAAGGAGGGATTTAACCCCAGGACGATGCAAAGGCAGGATGGCTGCCCTCGGGAGCTGCCGCTGCCATGCCCTCAGGAGCTGCCGCTGCAAGCCGGGGAAGGCGAGGGGCTTTGCTCCGCTTTACTGAATTGCACAGGGAGCGGATCCCAGGGTGGGGGACGGGCCGGCCGGCACCGCAGCCTCGCCTGCCCCGGCTCAGAAACGGATCCCTTCCCTTGGCAGAAATCCAGCCAGCATATCCACTCTGGCTTCTTCCCCGCTCAGCTTTAAAGTATTTATGAATATAAATTCTCTGTATAACTGGGTCAGGAGGAGAAGCGGGGGGCTGATGGGAGCCGGGAGCACGGTCTCTCCCGCTGTGCCCTGTTTTCCAGGGCAGCTCCGTGGTTCCTGACTCGCAACAGAGGAAGAAACCGCTGCATTTTTAAGCCATCTAAAAATTCCTGGAGAAGGAGGCGAGCAAACACAGACAGGGGCCTCCAGTCCTCCCCAGAGGTATTTTCAACAAGGGGAAATGAGTATTCAGAAAGAGGTACAGCCCCATCCTCTGCTTGGGGGGGGACAGAAAGGATTTGGGTAACACGTATGATTAACATGGTCGTACCAAATAGAAATGAAAACCATATTCAGAGCAGCACTGCTCTGAAAACAACACTCTGCATTGCTCAGGTGGGCTAAAACCAGACACGTTCCTTAAATATTTTCCTACAACTGCCTCTACAGAGCATCAATGGGGGAATCTGGCTGAGAAACAACCTCAGAAATCTCATCGGAGGAGGAGGAAGGACCTAAGCCTCTGACCTCAGCCTCCGGAGCTGGAACGCCGTTCCGACCAAAGAGCGAAACTATTGCTCAAGAGCCCTGGGGCGAGCGGGAGGGACCTGCCGCCTCCTCACCTGACTCCGACAGCTTCAGCTCACAGTCCAGGTAGTCGAACAGCTCGACCGTCAGCTGGAATCTGCCAAAAAAAAGAATCCAAAACCCTATCACCTGGCGGCAGAGACAGCCTTGCTCTGGCTGCTGATGTTCACTGCAGGTCCTCATAATGGCGAGGGCTCAGACTGACAAGAATTTGGGGGTTTTGCTTCCTGCATTTACGCCCCTCACCACTCTGCAGGCGCAGGAGGAATCAGACACCATCTGACCAATTTATAAAACACCGATGGCCGCCCCGAGGAGGAGCCATTTCATTAGCAGGATGCCGCCAGCCGGGCAGCACGGAGCCGGCGACCACGCACCGGTTGCTTTGCTCCTGCCAGGACACTCACATGTTGTTCACGTCCGTCCCCGCAGTCTTTTCCAGCACCTCGTCTGACACTTCAAGGCCTGGGGGGAACTCGGGATGCTTTGTAAAAGGAAAAAAAAACAAAACCAAACAAACCAGCAGTTGCTGCTAATAGTTTTGCTGATGCAACGCAACCCCCGGTGAAGGCCCGTACCCCGGCACGGCAGGGCGCGCAGGCAGCAGTCTCTCACCTTGGTGTGGAAGGAGATCTTGGTGAGGAGGAGCCGCGTGTAGATGCTCACCAGCTGCCCGTACCTGTCGTGCAAATGGCCCTGCCAGAGACACGAGGGGAAACGCGGTGAATCCGGAGCGATGCAAACGGATCTGGCAGAGCCTGCGCGTGCCGGCGAGCCCGTGCCAGCCCTACGGCTCTTGCCCTCTTGCCCTTCACCACGTGCGCGTCCATCGCCCAGTGGAGCCAGAGGCGATGCGTTACTTCAAGCGGTGCTTTGCCCTCCTCGTGCCCGCGACGCTTTTCAGCGCCCACCCCAAAAGCCCCGGGAAGGCGCAAACATCCGCTTCGCCCCACTCACCCACAGTTCCCCCGTCTCTCGGATGTTGCTGCGGTACCTCTGGCAGTCCTGGAGGACCTGGGGACAAAAGCGGGAGGGATGCAGGACGGTGGGGCTGGCGCGGAGCTGGGCGAGCGCCCGCCTGCCCTGAAGATGGATCTGGCCCCTTTGGGAGAAGCTGTTCAAGCCCTTCAATGGCAACCAGAGGCCGGGGCTTTGCACGGGGAGATTTCAAAGACACGAGATAACAGAGCGCTTCGGAGCCCCACGGCCTGGGAAAGGCGGCTGGGCAGGGAAGGAAACCCACCCTCCGCGCAGAGGGACGTCGGCAAAAGCCAAAAATTTCCCCTTGCCAGCAACGCGGGAGGGACGTTTCGGAGGGGACACTCACGTTGGGGTGGCCATCGCGCAGGACCTTGTGCAGGACGTGGCAGAACTTCCAGCTGAGGATGGCGCTGCTGGGCAGGGGCAGCCCGATGGCGTAGGACCAGAAGGTGAAGGCTCCCTTCTCGTGGTGCGTCCCCAGGATGATCCCTTCCCTGCGGTCAAGGTCAACCGGACACACATGGGAGCAGAGGACGGGCTGGGCTGGGAACTATTCCTGTCCAACTTTCATTAAAAAGGGGACACGTACCGAGTGTACCGCAGGCACAGAGATCACTGACACGATGCTGCACCCACAGATTAAACCCCCGTTTATTTTTTACTGGTGCCCTTCCCCTGCTGCAGGGCACACCGGGGCCCTTTCCATTTTACTGCCAAAGAAATGCAATTTTCTTGCACTGCTTTTGTTTGCGTTTTCATTGATGGACGGACCTTCACAATACCATCCCCCAACCAAGCTCTGCGTGGGTCTCGTCTCCCAAACCTCCCGAGGCCGCAGCCCCACGGGGTGAAACCCCTCCTGCCTCGCCGCTGGATCTCCTCTGCGCCATCCAGGAGAGCCAAGGGAAAGGATACGGCGAGCATGTTTCTCCTTCACTGGGGCTTCTTGCGTATTTATGGCTTTGCTGATGCTGACGGCCTGCGAGAGGAGGAGAGCGCGGCCGTCAGCAGCGGCATGACCCTCGTGGTCCCCAACCCACGTCCCCATTTGTCACCTTAAAGCCGTTCACGACACATCAAACAGGGTTTTTTTTAATCCATGATCAAAGCGGCCCATTAAAACCCGCCATCCCCGCTGGATCGGTCGGAGCCGGGCCGCTACCTGTGCTCAGCTGCTGAGGCTCCCAGCTCTTCCCGTCCCAGGGAACAAACGGCATTTTTGCAGCCTGAACTCAGCGGCATGCCCGAGGAGCATTAAAGCTGGACAGCGAGATGCCAAATTCCAGGGCTGTTTGTCTAATCACAAGGAGTCTTTAAACCAGAGGGTGGCGGGTTAGTTTTTTTTTGACGACGTTGCTGCGTGCAAACAGCACGTGGGGAAAATGCAGCCCCCCAGCAAGGGGGGAGCGGCGGTCGCGACGCCCATTTCAAAGGAGCAAAAATCCAGAGCAGTGAGATCATCAGAGGCAAATTATCCACATTTCAGTGTGTTTGATCACAGCCCACTTTGAATTATGAGTTTATTCCAAAAAACGACCCCAGACAGAGGTCGGTTGCACCTTTTGCATGACAACAGGCTGTAAAACCGAGTTGCTGTGATCGATGAGGATCTTCCTCATCGCACGAGCCTCCTCGCACGAGCGCTCAGGCTGTGCCCGTGTCTGCAGGTTCTCGGTCACCGGCGGAGGAAAAAGATCCCAGCTGGGACGGCAGGAAGTGGCTCCGCTGCCGGCACTCGTGCCGGAAGAGAAACCTGGTCCCTCCCTGCAGCCCCACAAGCCGTAAAATCGTACAAAAAAATCTTATCTCTCCTCCCGGGCAAAGCACCTGCTTCGACACGGCCGCTGGTCCAGAGGCCGTCCCTGAATCAAGGCGCTTTCCTGCAGGAGGAGGAACCTGACGCCGGGTTATCGAGCGCTCCTGACTTATGCAGGAGGAACCCGATGCTCTGCCAAAGGGGCGATGCCACAGGTATCGATGCACCAAATCCACCCCAAATGAGCCCAAAATGGCTGCGACCACAATTTGAGTGGTAACAACACTGTGAGCGCATGGTTTTAGTGGGTAAAAATAAAAAGCAAACCTGTGAGCGCATCCCAAAAAGTGAGCCCGTCCCAAAATGCTGACAGAGCACAGTCACTGGGAAAAGGGGTTGGTTTTGCCTTTCCCGCACTGGGGAAGCCCCGGCGTTACCCCGCCATGTGGGGCCGTAAAGCAGCAGAGGAATTAAGCCGGTGACTTGCTGTAATCCTCTTATCCTCGAAGGTTAACGAGCCTGGAGTGCCCGGGAACAGGCACTCGCAGCGCAGCCGCTTCTCCCAAAGCGCCCGTCACCTCCGCAGCCACCCGGAAACCTGGAGCCAGCAGAGAGGTTGTGCCCTCGACGATGGCTCGGAGATGTGCCACGGGTCCTCAGGCCTGCTGGCACCTCCCGGTATGACACCAAAGTGATGGATTATTGACAGAAAGCAAGGTTTCTGTCAGGGCTTGGAAACGCATCTTCTGGCAAAGAGCGGCTAAAGGGGCTGTTGCACCTTATTGAGGTGCTTTGTATGGGTGGGGAGCGGCACAGACATCTCCCAAACCTGGATTTTCACTGCCCTCCGTGCGCTGGAGCAGCAGGATACGCTCGTCCCAACCCACCGCGCTCATCCCAACCCACCGGCAGGAGCCAGGCTCAGCCTCCAGCCCCACAGGGCAGGGAGGAGGCGCAGCCAGAGGGGCTGATGCGTGAGACGAGGGCAGACCCCCGGGAAAGGAAACGCCGTCCCACGTCCCCAGGGATGGGAGCTCAGCCGCCCGGCGCTGCCTGGCAGGATGGGGATAGGGCTGGGACCCAGCTGGCCCGTCCCAAAACCAGACTGTAATTCCCATTGGTGCTGGTGGTTTTATTGCACTTACTGCCCATAAGCTCGTTTCCAGCCCAACCAGCCAAAATTCAGCCCGGGAGCTGCCGGAGAGGCTGGTTTCATCTGTGGTGATTCAGCGCAGAGGTTTCAACTGAGCCATTTTACATCCGGCACAGAGGAGCGAACCCGTGCAGGGGCAGCCCCCAGCCCACCCGCAGCACTGCCGTGATGAAGACACCATGCCCGGCGTGGTCCTAAATAAACCACGGTGGCACCAAACCCACGTCAATCCCTTGGGGCTGCCAGCTTAGGCCGGCTCCAACCCCTGGGCTGGCCAGGCGGTCCCCAAAAAGGGGATGGTGGGACCAGAGATGGGCACAGGGCGATGCTGCAGCCTGGGACACGTGTGCCTTCAGCCTGTCCCGGCCGGCTGCCTGGCGAAGCTGGGCTGTGGAGGACGGTT